GCAACTTTCCACTAATAATCACCTTTTTAAACATTTCTAGGACATGTGTCATTTGATTCTCTTTGTATATTTGACACTTGTTAAATTTGTGTGTGTGTGTGTGTGTGTGTCTACATACCCGATGAGCTAATGCATCTTGACTCAGACTTTATGTCACGCAACTCGAAGACTCCGCAACTGTGCAGAAAAAAAGAATGTGACAGTAATATGTGGATGAAAGAAAATTATAGCCAATTAAGCCAATGGTAGATTTTCAGAAAAAGCATGTGCTCTGAGTAAACAGTTAAGTGATGTATAATGTTGGCTGAGTGCAGAGACAGTTGTGCTTGTGTGCAGGTTTTTACAGTGACTGTGTTGATATGGACACCAATATTCTGATATTAACCTGAATAAGGTCATACACAGAATTAGCAATAAGTCGCATTATGTAGACATACTTCTTAGTTACATTATAACATCCTATTATAACATTATAAGGGTTTAACAGCATTTTGTGACATCGACATACACTTTTGACGACACGTGTCCTGGGTGTGAACATGAATGGAAATAAAAGAGTTGAAGCTTTTTCTGAATAAGAAAGTGATTTACAGCAGCATTGTACATTAAACTATTTCAGGTTTGAGTTTTAAAACTGTCAAATCAACGTCAGACTTAATGGTCTAGAGGACATAATGACCTGGGCCATAATTAGGCTAGGCTCTGTTACATAAAGAGGAAAGTGAATATCTATGGAATTTTTTAGCAACTCTTGTCAAAATTGTGTCAAAATTTGGGTCAACATTTTTGATACTTTGGTTTTCATGTGTCCAGGTTTTGAGATATCAGACTGTGAAGTTGTAAGAACATCCAAAACAAAATGGAGGTGAACAGACGTTTTTTTTTTTCCTACTGAACATGTTTCCATGATGCTCAACAAATTCAGTATAGTTTCCTTTGGCAGATGTTTGTCTCCTGTGTAAAGAACTATGCTGAGGAGGACTAATTAGTGAGCAATGTCACACTTCTCAGTATTAGACAGCTCTGCATATATTTAAATGTGAAGTGTGCACCCAAGCTGCAGTTGGCTAAAAGAAAAGAACACAAAAACAACAGCTCCTAATGTTCCCTAAAAGCTCTGACAATGTTGTTGTGGGAAGGTTTTTTGCAATATTAGCAGAAGAAAACTCTTGCATAACATGCCGCGAAACTTTCTTGTAACCTTCGCTATAGCAAATATGAAGATGAACCCAAGAAAATGATCGGAGCTGATCTCTATCTGGTGAGGACGTGATCTTTTATCGCTTTCTTGTAGGACTTTAAAAGGACACGGCCACGTAAAAAAAAAAGTCTTTGTCCGCACAACTAACATGAAACAAATATGGAGAACTGCCACCGAAACTGAGGAGCTGTTACCTCCACACAAAACTCTTTGTAGTCTACTGTCACAGTTTGAAATCAAATTTTTTAAGTGTGGCTGAATTTCTTTGAATTTGTCTTTCTGTGACCTTGACTAACCCGTTTTCAGTGATCCGGGGCCACTCCGCTCCGTTCAGCTGAGCGCTCTCATACAATGCATGTTTTGTTCTGTTAGTACGTCACAGTTTTCTTTTTTTTGGGCATAGCTTTTTCTTTCATTACAGTTAAAAACAATCCATTCTCGTACTGAACGAAAGCCCCACAGCTGCAGACTGAAGAATGTTCTGAAGTTCATCCGTTCACCTGCAGCTGTTTGGGTTCAGTCCAACCCATCGATACATGAACTCTGGCCTTTATCTGTCTTCAGAGCAGCGCAGCTTCCTTTGTTCACGATATTCTTTGAATAGCCGCAGTGTCTCACATGAACCCATTAAAACCTGAAACTCCTCAGAGACTCATCATGCTATGAATTTGACCATTAGCCCGAGGATAATGATCACTTGCACATTTTTAACGTATATTTGTATTAAAAAATTTGAATAAACTTTATATAGTTCAATCTATAAAATGCAACACAAAGAAAAAACTAATAAAAAGAAAGTAAAATAAAAATAAAGGTGAGAAAAGGTTAAATTGGATAAAATGTCACCACCTACCATACGATAAAAATTAATCAGGACAAAAGAGCGGACATTTTTGTCAATTTCTTAGAAAATACTGTATGAATCCCACTGTTTGGTCTTGGGAGAGATAGACACTCTACTGAGTGTTGCTCTATTTTTGTGTATGTGATACCAGAAGTTGCTTTAGTCTGTTTGTTTTAGGTTTTATATACAGTCACATCCTATTATACTATTTGGGGATGGGTCCAAAATATGTGGACTACAACTAAAAACAGAGACAATGAATCACAAACACCAGCGTGGAGCTCCTGGAGACTCTCATGAAGATTCAAAATGTCAAAGGCAAAATTCAAAATAGAGCAGTGTCATGGCTCGCAAGATAAGATGTGCGGTTTGATATGCTGTGACATTTTCATAGGCATGGGGATAGTTTCAGATAAAACAGTTTGTCCTACTCTGGTCTGCATCCATGTCTGCACAATCCTTCTCCTCATGCAACTCGCGCGCGTGTGTGTGTGTGTGTGCATGCGTGCGTGCGTGCGTGTGCAGGTGAATTATGTGGTTCTGATGACATAGATTCATTAATCATTGAAAACGAGGGAATGGGAGAGTGCAACCAGGATTTTAAACTATGACTCAGCCACTACTGTTCTCAATAGCATGAGTTTGCATGTGCCAGGGCCTGCGAAGCTAGAATGGCAGCCTGACAACAACCATTGGCTGAAAGTAGGTCAAGTTTAGATTCACGTCATGCTTCACTGTGGCACAACACTGGATTGTTTCCTTATTGCTCAGATTTACAGCAGAGGTTTACAGAGAGAAACAGTAAAGTTAAGTCTCTGTTTGAAATGTGTGATACCAGTAGTTTTGGAGGAACTTATACTGTATATGCATGATTGCAACATATCGCACATGACAGAAGAAACCAGAAATGTACACATTCCATCTATCGTTCCAACCATTGTTCCATCTATTGTTCCATCTATCAATCAATTTATTGTTCCATCTATTGTTCCATCTATCAATCTATTTGTTGTTCCCATCTATCGTTCCATCTATCAATCTATTTATTGTTCCATCTACTTTTCGATCTATCAATCTATTTGTTGTTCCATCTATCGTTCCATCTATCATTCTATTTGTTGTTCCATTTTTCAATCTATCTATTGTTCCATCTATTGTTCCATCTGTTGTTCCATCTATCGTTCCAGCTATCGTTCTATAGTTCTATCTATGATCCAGACACTTAAAAATATTTACTTTCCACACAATAAAGTATCAAGTCTTCTTGTTGGACTTTTTGAAGGAGAATTTCCATTATCATTCAATTATTAAAACACAGATTATTTTTGTCGACTAGCTATTAAATGTTTAATAGTTTCAGCAACAAAACTCAATGTTTTATTNTGTGTGTGTGTGTGTGTGTGTGTGTGTGTGTGTGTGTATTTGATCATTGATATCCTCTGCATGTACATGCAAACAAAATGATAGACCACACTGTGCTTCCTTTTAAAGCATCTGCAACCATCTACTCTCACAAGTGAGATAACACCCTCTGTCGCCTCAGTAATACGAAATTTTGAAATGGCACGATAAAAAATTAACAAACACACACATGCAGCCACATCTTCTTGACAACAGCAATCAATCAATGTGACGGCATAGTGCTCGAATCAGTTAATTTTTGGAGATGTGTTGTGCTCCAGAATATTTCAATGGTGAGATCTTTTAGGAAATCCACCCACTGCACGAGCTGCAGGCTGCAGGTGATGTGGCAGTAATTTTGCATGATGGTCAGTCATTTGGCACTTTGCTCTATCATGAAAGCTTCAGGGTGGAGCTGCACTCCTCTGCTCGTCTGTCTCGACATCTTTTTTTTCTTCTGAGTACGACCTCAGTTAGAGGTGATTTGGGGTGAGGTGTTCTTCCCTCACTCCCAACGCGCAGAACAGCAGTACAGAGGGAAATGAAGGAGACATGAAAAGATAAAAATACTGTCTGGTGTATAATTGAGGTTCTGGATAAAGGGAGTGAAGACTGCATGGAAAGATGATGAGTTAGGGAGGGTGAGTAAGAAGGGGGTTGGAGAGCATAAACAAAACATTAGGAGCAGATGTGGACAGATGATGAAGATCCTTAAATAAAATTGCTAACTCAAGTCTAAGAGGAGGACCACGTCACCGCCTCACATGCAGCATTCAGCTAGCTGCTCCCACCCAGGCCTGATGTCACATACCACAGCTTTCCCTATTTACCTCACATGAAAGTGCTTTCCTTCCACAGCTCTTGACTTTGTTTTCCCATTTTGAGCTTTGTCTAACTTTTTCTCTTTGTCTAACTTTTTCTCTTTGTCCAACTTGCCTATGTCTATTATTTAAGAAAGTAAAAAAAACACCTGCAAGTTTAATAACCTTTACAATACAGATATATTTCTCTTTTTAGAGTTGCTTCTGTTTATTTTACTTATGACCTATACTTAGTATGTATTTCACTGTTTCCTTTGACCTGCTGTAACACAGCAAATGTCCCTATAGTGGGACAAATAAATATTTACCTGCTAATTCCACAAACATCTGTCTGTCTGTCTGTCTGTCTGTCTGTCTGTGTGTCTGTGTGTCTGTGTGTCTGTCTCACGAACTGTTCATCATAAGGGCTTCACACCTTCCATGTGTATTGTGAATTCCCAGAGGAAGTGCAGTACCAAGTTTGTGACCATGGGCTATACAAATACAATTTGATTGACTTATTGATCATACTACTACGAAAAATACTAATAAATATATTATCTTAACTTATCATCTTGGCATCTTTAATTGATCAGAAACGGATATTTCCTACACTATGCGAAGGCATCATCGGTCTGAGGCCGCTCAGACCTGTGAAACTCCTTTTTCGCTCAGTCCCGTGAACGCGTCTCCCGCAGCGCCCCCGCCCCCCCCGCTGCCGTGACGTCAACGGCGTCCGTCCCCGCACATGGAGGCTGAAGCCCCGCCGCGCTGCCTCCGCCCTCCCGCCTCAGATTACCCGCCCGTCAGCAGCGCTCCGGCCACACAGCAGCCAGCCGCTCTCCGTCCTGCAGCACCGAGGAGCTCCGTCTGTCTACCGCCGGCTGAGTCTCTTCTCACCGCCGCCCTCCTCACTGCAGCGAGTGCGGCCGCGTCTCTCTCTCTCTCCGAGGCGGGGAGCGTCCGAGTCTTCGCGAGCGTTCTTCTCCATTTCGCCCTTCGAGACATATGGAGAAAATGGCCAGACCTCTTGCTGTCAACCCCGCGTTCCTGCCGCCGACTCACGGCGTGCTCAAGTCTCTGCTGGAGAACCCGCTCAAGCTGCCTTTCCACCACGATGACGGTACGTGTGTTTGCTTTCACCCGGGTCAACGCTTCGCTTGACTCGGCTTCTCTGCGGTGCTCCCTCCGCCGCTTGTTGTTTTCATCCTGCTCGCACCCGTGACTTAGACCGATAACCGCGCAGTGAGGGGCGGACTGGAGCAACAGGCAGTGACTCCTCTTCGCACTCTGCGATCTCTGCGGAAGATGAGACAGTGTAATGTTATTGATGTGTGGGCGGCAGAGATGGAATAAAAAGACAGATGCGGCTCGTCTCTGTAAAATGTTGCTGCGCTGACAGCTGGACGTAAACTTCAGCTCAAGCTAGGAAGCTATTTTAGCTTCTGCTTATCAAATAAGCGTCGCGGTTTCATGCGTGATTGTTGTGACTGCGCTGTTTTTAGCTACCAGGTGCGTTTCTAACCTTTTAAAGCCTCTGGTCTTCAGTGGGATTTACATTAGCGATAGCACTAGCTGCCGATAGAGGGCGTGTTTTCTGCTCGTCAGCTGTCAGTGCTTGCAGTCCACCCTCTGTTTGCGTTGGTTGAATGTATTGAGTGTCATTGCACCATCTGATCATGAATGGAGACCTGATTTCAGATTTAAAGGTTAATTTCAAATAAATAACAACACATTGTTTACTGATTAGCCACACAGATAACTTTTTATTTAAGCTGAGTGTTCTGACAAGGTGGATGTAAAGCTATCACTGCAGCACATCTAAAGATCTGATCTGATAGCGTTTTAGTATTTTTTGGTCAATTGGTTAAATTGAACCTTTGAGTTAAAACCGCAGTTTTACTTTCTATTTCTGCCCGTGCACTGACCCCTGATCCTCCTCTGCTTGAGACAATGAAAATGACTGTGTGCAAACATTCACAGGATTTGGGAAAGAAAAGGAGAAGGCGAAGAAGCTGGACGATGAGAGCAGCGCAGCCAGCGATCCACAGTCGGCCTTCCTCGGACCGACCCTCTGGGACAAGACCCTGCCCTACGATGGCAACAACTTTCAGCTGGAGTACATGGACCTGGAGGAGTTCCTGTCGGAGAATGGCATCCCCGCCAACACGGCCCAGAGCAACCAGGCTCAGCAGGCGGTGCAGCAACCGCAGGCGCCCCTCCAGCAGGCCCCGCAACCCGCCCCGCCCACACCTTCCGTGGTGGACCTCAGCAGCCGCGCCACCACCTCGGTTCACACGGGCATGGCACCTCAAACCAGCCTCCACAGCCCCAGCACAGCAGGTAGGAAGCACATGCAGCGGAGCCTAATGTGCACCTGAAGTCACACCTGCACGCAGGGACACATGCACAGATGGGTTCACACGCTTGTTTCACGCCCCTACTGTGGTCTACACTGATACACAAACACACAGCTTCCATCCAACATCAGAGTGAGAGTCTTGAGAGGCTAAGAGAGAGCACAGTCCTTGTGGTTTGTGTCCTGAGTCCCTGAATGCATCGTTTCAGAGCTGGAGCTTTATTATTTTAGTATTATGAAGCTAAAAGCAGATGCAAGACCGATTATTTTATTTTTACAGACGTAACATTTCAGTACAAAGTTCCAGTATTTCTCTCATCAAACAGCCATTTGCTATTGAAAATATTATTATCGCAATGAAGTGGCATTTAGTAAGCAGCTGACATTTAGAGTGTACCATTAAACTGTGAGTCTGAGTTTGATAGGCCGATGCCAGATGACATTTAGGTTTTCAATTCACCAGAAACCTGAACCGTTTGACTCATAAAAGATGGGCAGATCTTCAGGATGAACATGAACAGAGCGAATTCAAGCACAACCACACCACTGCATATGGTTCGTGTTTCGCATCCATACTTGACACCAAACACCTCCTGGCAAAAGATCTGACGATACATAAGAGATAAACAGATGGGTTGTTTGGATTCATGGGGGGTGTGTGTGTATGTATGTATGTATGTGTGTGAGATGATGGTAAATACTCTGCTTATGTGTGTTTTACCTGTAAACACTGTGGAGGTGGGCTCCTGGTGTAAATGTTAAACATTCACTCCACTTCACCTTCAGTCGGATTAACCCTCTGTGCTGCTGTGTATTGACCTCAGAGACGATTAAAGACTCGACAGTTTGAATGATAATGGAGGATGAGTGGTGATTCATCACAGTCCTCTCATCAACCTTTTCAAGGACTCATTTCGACCTGATGACAGCCACGCCACCGGTTCATTTATCACTTTAATTACATGAAATGTGACCGATCCTGTGTGCTCATTGTTATAGACTGCTCCCTCGAAAGAGCCACAAAACACAATGTCCCATAGCATGAGCAGAGTTAGGTCTGTTTGTGCCAAGCGATGTTTGTAGATCTCCCCAGCTGGTGTGCCCCCACCGCACACACTTTGTGCAACGTGTATTTGAGTTTCAAGATTAGGAAGGAAGGAACCTTGATGAGCTATTGTAAACGCTGCAGTGTGGTGAATATGGCATCCAGGCTTTGTATTCACCTGTGTTGAGACTGTAATTAATAAGATATATCAAAAATGATTGAAAAGTCAAAAAACTGCTCAATGCAAAAAAATGTTAAGGCACATTTCAGAAAAAGTCAGATCTTAAGTTCATGATAAGGAAGAAAGCAGGAAGAAAAACAGTTCCTCATATTAGAGCGATCAATTGATTGGTTGGTTGGTGTTACAGCAGACTCCCTGATGGCCTCTCACCTGCTCAGCTCCTCCCTTCAAAAGAAGACAGTGCAGCCTACAACTGCGTCTGACAAATATATCGCTGATTAACTGTGAAACATTGTGATTCTTCCCAATGAGGGTCTAAGAGGCAGAAATTAGCTCTTTAGTTTTCCCCACATTTTAAAGAAATGTATTTATTCATGCGCTTCAGAGGAGGTGCAAGTGTACAGTACTGTTAATTCCAGAGTGAGTGCACATGTGTGTTACACGCAGTGACAGAACTCTGTTTGCACCAGTCTCCTCACATTTCATGTGAACACGGCTGGGGTTTCCTGCAGTGTGCCCAGCCATGTGACGAACACATGCAGGAGCCGTGTGCAGCACTGAGCTTCAAACAGGAGCTTGTCACGGCATGAATCTCCCTGCCTCTCTTCTCTCCTCCCTCCCTCCCTCACTCTCACTTCACCCTCCCCTCCCCACCTCCTCTCCCTTTAACACTCTCCACTTCCCATCCAGTCTTTCGCCCCTCCCTCGCCGAGCTCGGCTCCGACACAGCCTGGACTCAGAGCCAAGGCACAGGCTGTACCCTGCAGAGATCACATGGACTCGGATGTGCTTTTGTCACGTGCACACAATATTGTTCCAGCTCGCTAAACCGCGTCTCGTCTGACCAGCCACTCCACCACCCCCCACAACAACCACAATCCCTCTGTGCCTGTACTCTGCTTGCAAGCAATACAGCAGGCAGCTGATAACACTGTTATCACTACCCACGAACAAACGCAATAACAACAGGCGTTTGCAGTGTATTCTCAATGTGAGCGGCCCCTGAGACATTCAGGGTCCGTGTCAGGGTCGGGTCGGGAGGTGGCTGTGGTGCACTGTTAACAGGGGCCAGAGGGGAAGTCAGATGGAGGAGGGGTCAAAGGGTGTGTTGTGGTGTTAGTCAAGGAAAGGTGCCTCAGAGAGAGACATAGGTCTGCACATTTTTTGAGGAAGAAAACATGGGGGTTTGTGTTTCAACTGGTCAAAACATTTTATTGTGTTGAAGCAGGAATCAGCCAGAAGTTATCACACTACTTATCAAAGCTGCACCAAGAAAAGTATATTCTAAGTTATTATCTTTACCATTGTTGTTGAGGCAGTTTCCTCTGGAAAACCGAGTCGCCTTCCTCTCGAATAAGCGTCTGTATCAGGTGGCTCAGCATCAGCAATCCTGGTCACAATAAACTATGAAGCTGGTTTTTATTCTTGAAAGGACCAAAACCAAACAAAACAAAGATGTAAATCTTTCAGGAAAAAATAAATAAAAATGATGATTCATATCTTAAAAAGGCTCGGCCCTTTCCTGAAGCAGATTAAATCAAACGTTTCTCATACAATAGGAAATAGTGGATTGGTTAGGGACTATTTTTCAGTAGCGTGTAAAAACACATTGAGTATTTTGGGCAGCACTTTGGATTTAGTCAAATTTCAACAATGGAACAATATGACACGTCTATATATTCCACACAAAACATCTGCCAGATCAATTCATTGTTGATCTTTTCATGAGACTCATCGACGAAAGATGAAATATAGAATATCTGCGACTCTGATTTTGTGAATCTGCCAGAAGTCATTTTCACATTCTTAAACTACTTTAAATCCATTAACCAGAGAAAAAAAGTTTCCTTGACCTTGTCCTTTTGCCTCTGTGGAGACTTTGAGAGGATGGTTTGGCCATTGTTGGTCCCATGCTACACCCAGGTAAAAGTTCATCCTCTCTTTCCCCCCACACAATATATGACCCAACAGCCCCTCTTATCACCAGTTGTAACCTTCTCGCTCACACGGCAGGGTGATAACACACTGCGACTTCGATGTGCTCATGTAGTGTCACCCTGACCTGTAGCAGGAGATCTGTGCAAATAGATAAAACGCTCAGGGGTCAGATTGAAACCGGTTCCACAGGTTTTTCAATTAAGAGACTTGAGCATGTTCCAGCCTCTGCTCACATCTTTGTAGGTCACCTCTGGTCTACCTCTTCTGGCCTGTTAATTTTAGATTTCCAGTTTAAGAAGACAATTTTTTCAACTATTTCCTCTTACCTGGAATGTGTTGTTCAGTAGTTAAGGGGTCAAAGAAATGTCCTGTACATTTTACTTTTAGCCAAGTGAGATTAAAATTAGTTGTAAAGGTGATTAGGGCAAGGCGGGCTATTTTCACGTTTGTGACAGATTGTGTGAGACAGCCACCAGTTTTAGTCGGTAAGAAGATTGCAGTCTGGCAGGGCTCACAGTGTGAATGGTGGGAGGTCATGTTAGGATATATGCGTGTGTCGTAGCTCGTGGACTAACCAAACTACCTCTGCGATAAAAATCATGTGATTCTCAGGAATTCTCTTGAGCTGATGGCTGATCTGTGCAGGCAGTTATTTTCATCTTCGAGCTTCATCGCGACAGATCAATGAGGTGTTTATTTCTAAAACGCAAAACATTCAATACTCAGACTGGAAATGCTGGATCCAGGAAGAATTTTTCATCAGTGGCAACTGACGATGTTTTCATCATCAATTATAATTATGTTGATTGATTTTAATCAATTACAGAAATGTTTGTTTTTAAGACTGTGCAGGAAAATTAAACCATGAATTGACTCACAATAAATAATCTATTTAAGATAATTGGAGTTTCCATTTTCAGATGTGCTGCTTTTCTCGGTTTTGTAGCATTTTAAAGGCAATATATATATATATATATATATATATTTTTTTTTTGTTTGTTTGTTTGTTTCAGACTGAAAACGAGACATTTGACAATAACAATTATTTTGAAAATATAAACTGATCTATCCAATAATAATTTAAAGTGGTGGTAGATTGCTTGACAACTTGTGCAGTAGCCCAGATAACCTCCTGATAAAAGGTTTTGGGTTTTGGAAATTGTGATGTATAATTTTTCACTGTTTTCTGACATTAGGATTAAACAATTAATAATTTGATTCTAAGAATAATCGGCAGATTGGTCACGTCTGAAATTAAAAACTGAGATCCAATAACTTTCCTTCTTCCGTATTGAGACCACATTCTCAGTTCAGCATTTGATAGTTGTCTTGTAGAAAACCCGTGTTATTAATACGTTATTAATAAAGTCATCGTTTTGTCATCTCAGCGAGGAACTTCAAACCGCACCCGGCCCTGCTTGTGTGCAGTGAACCGTGACATCTACATCTGGTGATGGCGTGTGTATGAGAGAGTCGTTGCATTTGTAATGTTCTCTTTGGGGAATTTTTTTGCCTTTGTGCTCAGTTTTATGAGGTGATAATTGGAGGCTTTAATAGTTTGTGCATAGCTTTTTTCGAACACTGTGTTCACTGGCAGACAGTGTACAGACTGACTCGCCGTTTGTTTCTGATGGGCCCCTTCTCCAATCTCCACCGCAAGTCAAACGCAAAGAGCGGCTCGCCCATGCACACACCGAAAGTCAGCAGCAGGGCCGTAATGGCAGGCTCGCAAGTTCAGAAATCTAGGTCATGATGTACAAGCTGTCTGAGGATCAGCACTGAGGGAAAATGCCCACCACACTCTTGTTCTGTCGTTTCCTCAGACAGTGTGGGTAGCGTAGGTTTGGTAATGTCCGTTTGGTCCGATACAAATTAGTGCGATTGCAAAGAATAACAGAGTAATGTTTGTAAAGACGTGCAGCAGCAGAATCTGTTGGTTTGAGATCAGGGTGGCTGATACCTGCAGAGTGAAGATGAGATAAAAATGGTTCATTGTTTACCGGTTTTTAAAGCTTGTGTGATAGCACCACCTGCTGGTCAGATTCAGGGCATGCCTCTCTGAACGGGACAAATGTTGTTTTTCCAGTAAAGTTGTGTCACCTGCTCCTGAGCTTTAACGTCGGTGCAGACGATCAGGCCTGACATTTCTTCAAGGATCAGCCCTTGCAAACACAAACATGTGAGCTCAGAGGGAAGAAAGGCAGCATTCAGCTCCCCCCCCCCAGGCCTCTCAGCAGGGGTAACCACTGCTGCTCCTCCTCTGTCCAGCTTTGAAAGAGTCGCAGAAAGGATTTGCAGATGAGGCCTCAATCATAACGCCACCTGGAACGTTAATATAGAGCCATTAAGGTGTCTGGCGTGTGATTTATTTTACCAGGAATCCTGTTTTGATGGACAGCAAATGAAGCAAAGTCACAAAAAAAACATATAAACACAGTGAATAGACTAAAGCACGGAAACACAAACTTCAGGGAATCAAAAGCAAAAATGCACAAAGGAAAATAAAACGCACATGTTTTCTGCACACCTTTTTCTTTCAAAAGAATAAATGCCCTTTTCTTCTTCTCCTCAGCAGCACTGCCCTCATCCCGGGACACCCCCAGCCCCATCGACCCAGAGTCCATTCAGGTGCCCATGGCCTATGAGCCTGACCCAGCGGACCTGGCGCTGTCCAGCGTGCCTGGCCAGGAAATGTTCGATCCCAGGAAACGCAAGTTCTCTGCAGAGGAGCTAAAGCCACAGCCCATGATCAAAAAAGCCCGCAAGGTCTTCATCCCAGAGGACCTGAAGGTGACGCAGGGCGGGAGTAGGGGAGGGGTTTATGTGGGTCTCTCTCTTTGATGTCTGAGGCTGTGTTTTCGCACAGATTCCTAAAATGTCGTTATCAAACCCATGACAAAGAAACGTAGCATTAATAAATATAAATAAAAACAAAACACAAATGCAGCTTCAACTAAGAAAAAAAACAAGATGAACATCTTAGAAACATTTTTGTAAATATTTTATGAATTATTGTAAACATCTAAAAATGTATAATGATAATAAACTACTATTTGTTATGGACATGATACGCAATGGAACCATCTCCAATTGTCGAAACTGGAAAATTAAAGTTTTCGTATTGGCAAACATTAACGCTATGAAAGGTCAATAACTGTACGATGGTTTCCTCGCAGCGTCAGTCCTGATTGTTGGACGTCTCAGTCATTGAAAAGGGGAAAGTAAAAAACCTTGAAAAGGTGAGGGTCTTCTTAAAATGTCCTGACCCGCTCTTTTCTGCTCCTCAGGATGACAGGTACTGGGCCCGGCGCAGAAAGAACAACGTGGCGGCCAAGCGGTCACGGGACGCGCGGCGGCTGAAAGAGAACCAGATCGCCATTCGTGCCGGCTTCCTGGAGAAGGAGAACGCCGCTCTCCGCATGGAGGTAGCGGACTTGAGGAAGGAGCTGGGTCGCTGCAAGAACATTGTGGCTAAATACGAGGCCCGACATGGGCCCCTGTGAGCCCCCCCCCACACTACCCCTCCAAAAAAAATCCACTACAAGCCCCCCTCCATCTCCTCCTCTCTCACCCACACTTTATCGCCCTGCCCCATTTTTGGAGTTTGAAGGACAATGTGTCTCCTTTGGTGGCACTGCCCCCGCCCCCTCTTTCTCCCCCACCTTCCTCACCTCATCCCATTCCTCCCGCAAACCCCCCACACCCCCCAACACACACCTGTATGATTCTGTTATTATAACTGTCATTTTGACTTCTTTCATAAGCTTCGTTTTGTCTGTTCCTTCTTTTATCTTACCTTACACATCGTTCGACTGAATATATTTACATATACATAGATTAAAAAAGCATATATATACATATATATATATATATATATATTTACACATGCATACTTCCCACTTTAATGTACGGTGAGGAGTCATGAGCCAACCCACCAGCTGAGTCCACCCCACCCCCATCCCCCCGTCCTCCTTTCAGAAAACATGCTGTTTGTCGTTTTCATACCAATTTTATACGTGACATCGGGACTGAAAACTGTTGTTTCCTGTTTCACTTTTTCTTCTTCTTCTTCTTCTGCTGTGTTACAACCATGTGAAGTGTTGTTGCTCGCCTCTACCTGATCCCTCATATCTCTGGTGTTATTAAGCCGTGTGTGAGGTTCATTTTTTTCTTCTATCAGCACCTACGAGCACCCTTTTCTTCTTCTTTTCTTGATGTTCATGTTTATATTTCAGTTGTCGATCACAGCCCCGCCCCCCTTTTACCTCTGCGGCTAATCTAGAACAGCACCGCCTGTAATTTGTTTTCACATAGCAAAATTCATGGTGTAGATTTGCTTTAATTTTTCTTATGTTCATTTTTGGTTTGTTTCTCTCCATCGCCCGGACACTGAGCAATAATCCCTGTCCAGAATTAAACAGACATGACAGCCTCCATGTTTCTTACCCACCTCCTGGCGCCCTGCCACCTCCCCCACCACTTGCAGATTACTACCTAGTTTTATCTCCCTCCTTTCATCTCAGCACAGCTACGTTAACTAAGAAAACCTTAGTTTGCACTAATGCGTGTCTCACAATCTGAACTGGTGCAATGTTTCAACTCACTCAAAAAATTTCCTCTGCCTCATATTTATCTACCTTTTATTTCTCAGATGGAAGATTGTTTTTTATATATATATATATAAATATATATATATATATATATACTATTCATATTATTTTTAGTATTAATACTACTCTGGACATTGTTGTTGTTTAGCCTCCTTGTTTTCAGATTTAAGCATAATTTCTTTAACAGAACGAAAAGCTACTTACAGATTTATTCTTTTCTTCTTTTTTTGCAAAGTTGTTCATAATTATTTTTGCTTCTGCTTAACTTAGCATGATCGATGAGTGTTTTTATTTTAGGAATCAACAGATGTCTGTAGTCTCCCTCTTTGTAGCTCTATGTTCGCCCTCTTTTTAAAGATGGCTGTATGAATGTAAAAGATGTTGACAACGAAAAAAAAAAGTTGGATGGTGTTGTCCAATACTGTGGTTAACCCAATCAATTTGTTTACTGCAAACCAAACGATTCACAACAGAGATGATATATTGATAACAAGAGATATGTTTATATAAACCTTTTAAGTTGTTCTTTTTGTACAGTATTTTTCCTATACATTACTGAAGTATGTATTTTAAAGGCACAACAGATTCATATTATTAAAAGATACAAGTATATAACTCAAAGACAAATGCATATAGTGGTATTTTAATATTCTATATTAGATAGGATGTGGTAGTTCTACAGAGAATTATGGATTTTCAGCAGCACCCCAACCCCCGGGCATTATTATCATTATTGATATTATATTATTATGATGTCATAATAATACATCAAGTCACGTTAGTCCCCATTCAACTCAACGGAAAAACTAAATGCAGTCCAGAAGAGAGAATGTACAGTTGGAGTCTTTTCTAGAATCCACCAGCTCACATCCAGCAAGAAAACACACACTTTGTTCAGCATGTGTAGTGCCATCACCTGACCCCCACCTGCCGCCGCCGCCACCCCCGCCCTGTCGTCACGTCCCGACACGAGTCCTCCAGCAGCAGCAGCAGCAGCAGCAGCTTCTCTGTCAGAGGCAGACAGCATGAAGTTACTATGAAGGAAGGGAAACTACTGCTGGTTACTGCTGCTGTGAGTGTGTGCGGTTGATTCCTCCAGTCAGTGCAGTTGTAGCGCCTCCCTGAACCCGAGTGATTGACACTGGGAAGCTTTTATTTTTTCAAACAGAGGCTTACAGTGGAGTCCCCCCCAACACAGACTTGTTGTCGTGTAGAGCTGCAGAGGTTTTTTCAGTCAGGAGGAGTCGGACGTGGCCGACTTGTGTTTTTAAAGGTTGATACTGACATTTCTTAGGTGTGCAAACATGAAGTATCTGCAGCCAGTTAGCGTAGCTTAGCATAAAGACTTGTGACAAAGAGAAACAGTTGGCCTGTTCACTTTGTGGCGCCTCTAGAACCATTGTGTGTTGTTGTTTTTTACACTTTGGAGTGAAACCCGTGAGATACAAGATGTTATTTAGTGAGCGTTAGAAGCACTGGTAGGTTGTGTTACCTTTGTTCAGAGCCAGGACAGCTGTCTCCTCATGTTTAGTCTTTGCACTTTGTTAACCAGCTTAACTAATTGTGTTATCTTCAAGAAAAACATTCACACATTTGTGTGCTTGTAATTAAAAACATTCCACCGGCTGAATAATGGACACCAGCAGGAATGATTCCATCCAGTAGTTCACTCTTCAAATTTGTACCGTTCAGGCTGTCAACCAATTTTGTAAAAAAATAAATAAAACAAAAAAATACAAACTACACATTAAACACAAAATGTGTTTGTTGTGTTGATTCTACATGTCAATGGAATTGTATCTGTTTGATTTAATCTTGTCAAACATCATGTGCACAAATGTAGTAGTTTTATTTTACTATCGCAGCCCTGGACGTCCATAATTGTCCTCAGTGTGTTTTAAGATGGTTGGTCATAAGATTTTTTTTCTTTTCTGGTTGTTAAAAAAAAAAAGAAACCTGATAACAGGATTTTAAAAAGTAAAAAGCCCAAACGTAACAATCAGAAAAGTCAATATCGAACCAGTAAATCTACAAACTGACACATCGGTCTGAGCGGACTTGGCTGAACTTTTTCGATTTGATCCAAAGATGTGTGAAATGTAAAGTCATTCTTTTTCTATCCACGAACTGTAGTCAGAGTGTTTTTTGAGCTTTAGAGGATGTTTCCCCTCTTGTGTCTTTTCTCGAGTGGGAACAGGGTTTGTAGAGAAGAGTGAAGACTGGAACGATGCCTCCAGAATCTGTGGAGCATCTTTTTAATAAACGTAATATATACATATACAGGAAAAAGCCAATAATTCATCCACACGTGTCCCAAAATGACCTCACTGTTGAGTGATTTCACTACCTCACCCGGAAACGTTAACCATAATTCTGAGTCTATTCCAGTGCCTTGAATACACTGACTGTTCCCCAGTCTCTCAGCAATGTAAAGATCTCCTCACAGCTCCACTCGGATAGGTTCAGATCTGCACTGAAGAGCTGCTTAGTGCATCGAAAATATATATATATTATATACACACCGACAACTCTTCTCATTTCTGATTTTGGACATTGCAACAGACTTGTAACCATTGTATTCATGGCAACACCAACGGACTGTTTCAGAATGTATACAAATATGACACAAAGGAGTATTGGGTCTTGTTTGTCATGGAATGGATGCATAACATTTATTTGTGCTGTTCAGCCCTCAGCCTCTCTGTCGCTCTGTAATTTGTAGTGTCTAATAAAATCCCAATTCTTTTCTGACATCTTCTCTCTCTGCTCGTCCATAAACAACAGATTATTATTGAAACATGAATATATTTGTTTTTTCATCGAGGATGTCTAGTCTCGATAATTACAGCAGAATATTTGAACAAAAAACTTGACTTATCACAAACTTTGTTTTTCTTTGGCTGCTTTTTAAACTGCAATGTAATTTGAGAACTATTATTATTAGTTATTTTTTTCTCTTCTGTTTATTTGTCTATTAACCCTTTCCTATCCTACCTATAATTCATTCTCGAGCGATCATTGAGGGAGGCCCTCATTTACAATGATGTCGAGTGACAAAATACATATATAGTGAATAAATTGACACAGTATATAAATAAGATGCATAGAAATGCAGAACAAAAAGCAATTTGAATCAAGTCAAACACACACATATACTGTAGAAGATAAAGTAGAGGACCAGTGTAGCATTGTTGGTTAGTTTGTAAAACTACAGGACAGGTTTATGTGAAACTTGGTGGCAGGAATTGTGGCCCTTGTTGTAATAATTGAATTTAAAGGGACTGTTGACCTCGGCTCTGCTGAATGCCAGCGCCTTCTAGATATCATCTGATTTATTTTGTTAAAACATATCTTTAATTCCTCTCTGTTTGCAGTTTCAAGGGATTTTGAGGCCCCCAGGCAAAAGGGACAGGGGGGGCCCTGCATCGAGCCAAACCATTCATCTGTCATTCCAAACTTCAGAAGAATCTTTTGGTATGAAATCTTTTCAAAAAGTGCAGACACATGAATAATAGTGGAGTAGTAAAGTTTAAGTGCTAACCTCAATCACCATCATCATCCACACATTTAGTCTTTAACCATGTTAGTGATACAAGTCATGGTTAGGTTCCTGACCATGGTTTTCATGGTCCCCTCTCTCAGCTTGGGGTCCCAGGCTTTGCCTACTGTTATAACACTCCTGTCTGTATGCAAGGGAATGGAAATATATCTGTATTTTAAAAACAAGCCTTAACTATCAGGACTCATGTATTCTCTGATATGAATGAGACTCTTGTTTGGAGGCGCAGACGTGGGGCAGTAAGGTTTTTATTGTCACATTAGAAAGGTGATACAGCGGAGGAGCATTCATGTTCATAATTCAGCACCATTAACAGCCACTGGAACAGACAAGAAGCAGTTTGTTTCTTTTCCCTGCAAAGGCCAGGATCAGGTTCACACGATAAACATCAGAATATACAAACATTACAAAACAGTGGTTTAAGGAAATCATTACAAGGGCCACAATAACAAAACAAAACAGAAAAACAATTATTCAGCTCCACTGAGAGGAAAGCAACACAACGATGTTTATGAGTCAGGAGCCATTTAGTAAATTTACAAAACAAGAGAATGATGTTTGTCCACTTCAGAATAAAACACTTTTTGTCCTTGTGGTGCAAATCAACGAGAGAATCAGTGGAAATGTAACGCTGGACTACAGTACAAAGGTCGTGCACGCACACATGCGCACACACTCTCTACAGCACGCTCTTCACATTAAAAAACACAGTGAAACTATCATGGTTCATCAAACTGAACTGATTCTTTTCCTCTCATTTGGCTCATAAACAAAAATTCCCACCTAACCACAAGGTGTCACCTCCGCACTTCCTGAAATGTTGCATCTTACACCAGCCCAACGGCAGGGGGCGCTAAATACTATCAAGATTCCCTGAAAACTGCAGGTCGAGATAAAGCATCATTCTTATGTGTGTGAATGTGCATCAGATGGACTGAAAAATGCATAAAAAAATATTAATATACAAAAAAAAAAAAATACAGAAAATGGGCAAACAAGTGACCGATGCACGTTTTTGTTCCTACACAACTTAGAAACAAGTGGATATGGGGGGAAATTGTTGAAAATATTTTTTAGTGTAGAGAATCTAAAGCTGTCATTGACTGTCTGGTCAGATTCAGACTCGTTAGTTCCTCATTACAATTTAATTTGCCAATTTGAAACAATACTCTTTTGCCATCTTCAGTTCCTGTGCATATGCTTGTGTTTGCTTTGGGTTAATGGCTTTGTTTGTTAAATCAAAGGAAATGGTTTTGTAGAGAAACATGCTCATTCTTCTCAAAAGTAAAGCATCAAAACAAAGTATTATTTCGTATTTCATGGTTGTTTTGAGACCCAGCCAGGATTCTTAGCACCTCAAATCCCCAATGTTCAAATCACCCACTGAAATGATGAAATCTCCAGGTTGTGACCCAAAATGTGGAATGTGACTTTCATCAAGTGATACAAAAGACAACTATCAAATATCTCAAATACTCATGAATGTGCCAAGATTAACACTAAGAGTAAAAAGTAGAAATCCCCTCCCTCACTGTCTACGCTGAGGTACAAAACAGCTTTTAAAGTAGCTTTTGTTCGTTAGGGAGACGCTGAAAAAATCTGTTCTCCATGTTAGAAAACAGTAAACAATTCACGGTCAGTATTTTCGTAAACTTTTCAGCTGTCGCTGCAGCTTCTGTGGGCAGTTGAGGGAGACAGTGTGCAAGCTCTACTGTTCGGGATAACGGGCCGCGCCGTGGTCACGAGTTGAGGAGGGTGTCGACGCTGGGAGCCTTGTAGAGGTATTTCCAGATGGCGTAGTAGTGCACGGCAGCAGCCAGCGCCACAAACACGTGCCAGATGGCGTGAGCGAAGGGAATGACGCCGTCACTCTTGAAGAAGAACACGCCGAGGCAGTAGATGAGTCCTCCGCAGGCAAGTTCATGAAGCCCCTCAGTGTTGGTCTGCAGATAAATACAAAAAAAACAAGAGACGTTAGAAAAGAAAACAACTCTCCAGCTCTCTTTATGCACAGGCTCTATGAATTATATGCAACATGGTTGTTTGCACCCATCTGTTGGTTTGTTTGTCAAACTACCGAATGGAGACTTGGTGGAAGGATGGACCATGGATCAAGAAAGAACTTTTGAATAGATCTCGACAAGGGGCTGGAGCCAGGATTTTTTTTGATTAACATTGTGAGATAGAAAGTTTTGAAATTTTCACTGATTTCCCAAAGAATAATTCATGGATCTTGATGAAAAATAATCTGGCACATTCAGAGGACTGCTATCTCTGAGTGTGTGAAATTTGTCCACATTGACTTATTTTGCAAAAAACTGCAAACACCTTCCAAAGTGCAGATTTTAAAAATATTCTGTGCATCCATGTGTACATGTAAAACAAGTGTTTGAGAAACAATGTCACAGCTTACTGAGAATCAATGATCTCAATAGGCTCACTCAACGTGCTCAAAATGTTCTTGTCTGGTATTTGTGATGTAGACTTTATCGCCACCTACAGGCCCAACACGCTTGTTTAAGTGTTTGTAATCGCTTTTTAAAATTGGAAGAAATATCTGTTCAACAGAATACCCACAGTATTGTAGATGAGGCCTAAGGCGACTGTTGTGCCTTGGCGGAGTTACGTGCTCTACTACGTGACACTTTAGTTCTGACTGTGTGCTCTCATAACCTTGTGTGTTCACATAATGACAGATTGAAATAGGTTTCCAGCGCAGACACAAACATAACCTAATAGTCATTATGAGGCGTTTCAAATTCAAAGTAATCAAGACAGAAAAACTCCTGCAAAAAAACAATAAGACTCTTTACTCTCTGTTTCAGTTTAATATCACAACATCGCATGGATCCTTCTCTGATACGGATCACTGTCTGTTTACTCATAATACTGAGTTCAAACCCTGTGAAATAACAGCTCTCACTTCTACACTGAGCTTCTACAGTGGCAACAGGGCCCCAAGAGGTTCCCTCTGCTCCACTGTGACAGAGGAAGTCATCACACACTCAACACCTCCACACGAACGCAAGAACCTGCTGAGCTGCTGACGTGGCGATACGGTACATGGCAACAAACTGAACATGACTGTAAATAAATTACCATTGACGTCACGACCAATGCAGGAAAAAAGCCCATCGTCAGATAGAAGGCCAGCTCGACAAGTTTATACCTGTGAAGACAAAAAAGAAAAAAATGTGTCACTGATAAAGTCAATGTGGCTTCATTTGTGCTGGACTTGAGCAAACTAAGGTTAGTTTATAAAAGATATCATTATCTCATTAAACAAATATTTGTTCTAGTGGCGTAACACGTATTTCACGCGTATGTCCAGACTGGGTCGGACTTTATTTCACACACTGCACAAAAAGGAAACGTGTGTAACCAGAAATTTAGATTCAAAGTTTGAAAACATGTAACAACTTAACATGTAGACACTTAAAAATGTCTTCTACCATCTAGTTTTTCAAATGTGTGCACGTGTTTTATTGTACCCTACCTGAGGATCTGAGGCTGCAACTTTAAAAAAATCACTTCTTAAAATGGTTTTAAAATGTCTTATTAATCCTAGCACACCATTTGTATTACCCACATATGATATTGTTATACTTCTGTAATTATCTTATTGCCTGAGCTTATTTGCCTTCTTCCAAAAATGTTTGAATCCAGTTTCGACCACATAAAGCACTTTGTAACTGGGTTTTGAAAACAGCTGTATAAACAGTGCTGTATGATTCGGGTTCATCGTGATATCTGTATTATACTTTCTCATACGTAAACAACCACCCGGTGAACCAACAGTAACATGAACTCACTTCTCATGATAGTTGAAGACATAGATGGTCCCAGCAGCAGCCATGAGCCACACAAACCAGCGCATGTGAGCCGCCAGAGGTCCGAGTTCACGTAGGTTCAACCTGAGAAAACAGTACAGGTGTAACATCTCCATGTGTGAGATGACCCCCCCCCCCCCCCCCCCCCCGAGTACTCTAGAGACTGACCACTGTGTGACACTCACCAAGGTGTGTAGGAGGCAGCAATGAAGAAATAGATGACCACTCTGTCACACATATGGAAACACTGTTCCATGGACCTGAAACAAGAAGCAAACGAGCGGTAAGGAAACTACTTTAAAACTCTAGGTCTCACAAGTTTAACGTTTGAATGGAGACTCTAAATTGACCATAGGAGTGAATGTGAGTGTGAATGGTGGTTTGTCTCTGTGTGTTGGCCCAGTGTCACCCTGACAACTTGTCCAGGGTGCACCCCGCCTCTCGCCTAATATCAGCTGACATTTGCTCCAGCTCCCTCATGAGCCCTCAAAGGATAAGCAGTACAGACAATGGATGGATGGATTAAAAAGTGTGAGGAGAGTATCACTCGTATTATTAATTAGAAAATTTCAACTTTCTTCTTAAAAGGAGTGAGGGGGGATGGGGGGGGGGGATTTAAAGATGTACAGTAAGTCTCTTTCTGATCTGTCAAACAAGCAAATGTGTGAAAGAGTCAGACTCAGTATCTAGTTTCCTCACTTGTGAGCACACTTTCGCAACTTTCAAATATTTTACTCAGTTCCTGTATTTCAGCAAGATTTAAAAATTGGAACTTTGGAAATTTTACTTATTTTCTAAAAGTGCGGAACCAAATTAGAGCTGGAAATCAGGTACGGCCTTAGCACTAAAGTAGAAGATTTTACTTTATACAATATGCAGCCGTCAGTATTCTGCATGTGTCACTACAACACAGCATCTAAACACAACACACAATTAACAATGAAGGAAACAGGAAAAACCGGCAAACATGAATTTTGATGAAGATAATGGACACAGGGGGGGTTTCTATTTTACAAAAAGCTAAAATATATAATCAAATATGATGAAGGTGAGAGTTTATCTGCTGAACGCAGTGTGTGTAAGGGGGGAAATGTTCAACCAGTTCAACAAAATTATGACATTCCAAGAAGAAACCAAAGCCACAGTTGAAGCTAAGGAATGCCAAAAATGAACGTGTCCTCGTCAACAGTTAGGCAACAGCGTGATATCATTTTCTGTGGGGACATAAGATATTAATCCTACTTTCCCCACTTGAAACCAGAGACCAGCTGTACTGTATACTATTACTCTCTTTCTACATAATACAGAGGGAAGAACTGTTTGTTTGTGTCCCGTGCAGGGTTGTCAGGTCTTTGTCCTCACGGTTTTCTTGCCACTACATTGTCCCGTCATCAATCTGCTTCTCCTCACCTCAGGTGGCTCTTCTTCCAGGTGATGATGTGAAACACAGTAGAGACCAGGAAAAGGGCACAGAGGCCCATGCCGTACACCCAGGCAGTGATCCTCTCCCAGCGGTTGTCCGACTGACGGTACAGCAACGCCATGCCCACAAAGGCCGGCATGATGAGGAACTATGGGGACGACAATGAAATCACAGAACCGTCAAAAGGATCAGTGTGTGGATATTCAAGGCAACTTCAGCATCGACGTTGAGAGATAAACACAAGACACTCACTGCATGAGTGTAGCAGTTTGCAGCATGTTCATAACAGGTTGGCTGGTAGCGGCAGTTAGCGGAGGCCCGTCTGTTCATGAACCTGAAACACACGATTAAACAAGACTGAATATTAACAAGTACATGTACTGTACAGCTTCTCTCACACAGGGCCTTTTATTTCGAAAGACACTTATAAGTCTAAGCCTCGATTAAACTTGTAAACTCTAGTATTCATTACGTTAAAGCACATGAGCCTTTAAAAGGGAATGTAATGTGGTTTCTGTAGCAAACAGATAACCCCACATGGTTTTCACAGGCAGAGACTGATCATGGACAGATGACATAAAAACACTGAACAGTGATGAGGCAATAACACAAATCAAATTAAACTAATCTCAAACCAAACGTGTACAATGAGTCATACGCTGCACATTTGATCTGATTAGTTTAGACTTTTATGACATTTATATAAAGTTGTGTTCATAGACAATTATAAACACAATCAACACACAAGAAATTTGCTTTGGCATCTGATGCATTACAACACATGTTAAGGAGAAAAATGGTGTGTATATATTTCATTGTTAGGTAATATGTCCTTTGTTTATTTTTCGTCCAAAATCTAAATATATATTAAATAATAAGCATCAATCATCCAACTTGAGAATTAGATCACCAGATAACTAACTCTGATTTAATTAACTCATTTGACTACATTTACTATTTCAGACATTTAAAAAGATCCACAAGTGCTTTAGTTTGAAGTTTCCTGCGTGTCACACAGAAAACAGGTGTACATCAGGTTTACAGTAAACACGAGGTATCTTTAACATGAATAGATCTGCTTTTTGAGCCTGGCGGATGATCAGATGATCGGATGTCACTCACCTCTGAAAGCTGTTCACTCTCTTCATTTCACTGCCCGATGAGCCACAGGGAGAAACCCCGGCAAACAAAAGCACAGAGCAGCAGCAGCAGCAGCGGCAGCAGCTCCGGTTCACAAACACAAATCAAACAACACGCCTGACAAACCGAGGCCTAGCATGAGCTAACGTTACAAGCTAACTTTCATGACGGCTACCAGGCTCCGGCGGCACCTTCACACAGGCTCCGTTTTAGCCTCTTTCTTAAAACCATTCTGCACCAAAAGACTGACTCACTCCCTGTTCGTTCAGCTGCAAGTATCCATGAGCACCGGGGGCGGCCGGCACGCACAGAGAAGCTACCCCCCCGCAAACTGAAGCACCCCGCCGGTCAGTGACGAGCCGCTCCCCGCGGAGAACCTCCACTTTAACATGCGGTGCCGCCCAAACTGTGGTCAGATGTTGACTGAAGGCGGGTTCAGCCAATGAGCGGAGGAGTGAGCAGTGTGCTGCCCAATCACATGTCAGGTGGGCGGTGAACTGCTCATTCAACCAGGACATCCACATGAATGAGAACAAGTTAATGTGCGAATAAATACAGAAGTTACTCCAAAGTCTCTTAACTGTTGGATGGAGTTTCTTCTTATTGTTTATTCACGGACCGAGACTGTTATTTGTACCAGCTGCACTATCCCATGTGCATTTCAAATGTTAAATCACATGTCTGCAGTCAACGTCGGTCACTTCTGTTTTTTCATATTTCTGCAGCACTTTATAAAGGGAGCGTGAGAAGTACAATCTTAATTAACAGTTAAATAAGTCTGTTACTGCTTCATAGGTCAGATTTAAGACACTGATAAGGCAATTAAATGGAAAATGACTCATCCTCGGTTACAACATTGTTATTGTAATTTCAGAATTGATGTGAAAACATTGTACTGTAGTAATTGATTAGAAAGTGAGAAACTCTATAAACGAGGAGGAAAACAAACCTGGCACCCTAAAGTAATTGAGCTTTAACTGACATATTAAGCATCGGTAAATGTTTTTTTAATCATTAATTAAGCCATTAGTTGGGATGATGGATTAGAAAGTGAGGGACCTCTCACTAATCGCTGCTGTTTTACATTCAAACCTCTTGAAAAGAAGTCTGTGTAAGAATATATTTATTTACATTTATATTTTTATATTTTCATACTTATTATTTATTAATGAAAACACAAATAACAAGATATTTGGAACATTAGCGTCCACAAAATCCCAAAACATACTGAAGATATATGCAGGGGATTAGTATCACATACTGATCAGAAGTAAGAATGCTGTTGTGAAAAATAAGGATAACTTCTTTTCAAAGCACCTCTACTTAAATTGAGAAATTGAGAGAAAGAGAAAAAGGGAGTGAGACAAATACAGTGTTTAACAAGGAGAGAACAAGGAGAGCAAATGTTTCCTCCATGTTTTGGTGTTCGATTCTGTTCATGCACCATGATACATCATGTTCTTTTACACAAAACATGTTCTGTCACATGTTATGTAAGAAAGTTCCTCACAGATGGAGGATGACACACTGACCACTCTTACCACGAAATGAAACCAGCTGATGCTATAGCTGCCCTTCTCGTTCTTTTTTCATTTTGATGGATTCTCATTTTTACCACTAGACCGATTGTGCAGAGACTGAGCAAACCACTGACGAGTCCCTGCAGCAGATTATCACTGGACATGTAAATGTATTTTTCCATTGAATCTGAGTGTGGTGCTGCGGCAGACCCAGCCAGACAGTGAATTGCACATGCACAGGGTCACGCTGTGTTACCAGCCCAGTTACATAATAGCACTGTAACTTGATCAGTGACTTGCGTTTATGTAAGACCAAAGTGCAATCCTTAGGCTTAATGAAGCTCAAGCGGGACACTCTGTCATTGCTGTGAGCATTGCTGCAAAAAACAAGACACAAATTTAGTTTTCTCTTGCAACTGTAGAGATAATAGATAATTCAATAATTTTCTTGGATTACAAAGAAAGGTCCAGCACGTATCAGAAAGTCACAGAACAGTGGTTGTGCTAAATCAGATAAAAGTATCTGGGCCTTTGTGGTACGCACAGAGAATGGGGTTGATCCAGATGAAGAGAAAGAGCTTATTGTTCGTGTCGGGCTTTTAAAAAGGACATTATCACAGACAAAGCCTGAAACACCAGAGGCCACATGTCAGCGGACCGTGTCTCCTTGTTTCTGGCCTCGCTCTCACTTTTTTTCCCCCATGCTGCTTCACTAACACCTCTAATGTGATAGCAACCTGAGAGGAGCAGGTTGGCAGAATGTCACAGCGGCTCAGGACGGCCTCCCGTCCCAGCCATAAACAATCTGCAACCTACTTGCACTGATGTCCTTGGTGGTGGATCCAGTTTTGTGGGTGTTTGAACCTGCACTCACACAAGCAGCCGTACACTTGACACTTGACGTGTCACTTTATGTAACCGTGCATCTTGCATGCTGAGATGTAACTTAGAACTGGCCCCAAGTTGTAAAGCAGCATACCTTGAATAACATTTGTAATATTCTCTAATCTCTATTTTAATAAATGTTGAGGGTTCACATTAGGATGAATTTGTACTGATTTATTGTTGAACTAAGAAGATTCAAGAAAAATCAGACTCGATCCAGCAGAACAAAAGATACCGTCTTTTGTTTATTTTTTATGAATTCTTGTTCCTCGCCAAAACGAGTGTTACACAGAGCAGAACTGATTAACACACCTTCACCAGTCTGAGGGTGCATTCACACACATTCTGTCCATCACCTGTCACTTTGCTTGAACCTGCGTGTTGGACTCATTCAGGCTTGTATTTCCTGTTATATGAAACCTCCTGCATCCTGTTCAGACATGCAGGTTAAAGTTTCACAGCACTTATCACTCTTGAAATCTGCTGACACCCTTTACACTAGACCACTAACTGAAGCAATGCACACGTACATATTTGACATAGTTTATATTTTAGGACTGTCCATTTTTACTTCCTTCATTAGACATGTGACATCACATCCTCTTCAGAGTTGAGCAGTTTTACTTGATGGATGATTGACATGACTGTACCTTTAAGTCCATGGGTCTCCATCACTACATATACAGGCACAAAATATTCCGTTTTTTGCAGTTTTAATGTTTTGTGTATTTGTTTTCTCTTTAAAGTTCTTCCTCTAAAGCCTGAGACCTTTTCGCTTTCCAAAAAGCACCATTATGTCCAACTTGGTACTAAATAATCTGGAAGGAGCAGAACAAAGCAAACAAACAAAGCTTGAAAAATTCTGCAGGATACATTCACCCAGCACAGTGTGTTTAAACCTTCATCCACTCAACTCTCCATTAACCAAGCTGAGCTGTCCAATGACAAACAAGCCAGTTGCCGGTGACCTGGCCCTGCTCCTCCGTGCACACCAGTCCCTCGTTTTCTTAATGAAGCCACAACTGCCCCTGATGAAGCCTGAGCACATAAACTCCAGCAGCTTTCTCCACATTTTCTAAACTGTTGATCAGCACGGCTCAAACTTGTGTTCTCTGTTGTCTGTATTTGCATTTTATTTACCTACAGGAAAAGTCCCCTGCTCCCCAGCTGTAACCCTGACAACTAACTGGTGTGTAGTGTTTAGTAGTAGTGTCTTCTCTCCCTGTTGCCAAGTATCTGACATGTCACAGACAATGAAATCTAGTAACGATTGAAGAAATCATTCTGATGAGGTGTATCTGAAAACACTGCTGAAGGATTTAAACCACATGTAATTTCATTATTGGGCAGATTTATTTTTCTCATTAAGATCCATGAATTATCCTCGAGTAAAGAATGTGGAAAAACAATCCTGGATCTGCCCCCTGATCCAGATCAGCACCGAAATTAACTGGGTTCTTCCCTGATCTGTATCGGATCGTTCCACCTAGTTGTGTGCTAATCCGTCCTTTAGTTTTTGCTTAATCTTGCCTACAAACAAACATGCCCGCAAACAAATGAATATAACCCTCTTGGGGAGGAAGAAAGGTAGAAACAAAATGCTGATGAACTTAGACAATCTGTGATTCCTGCCAGAGAACAAAACAAATCTGTCAATAAATAATTATATTTAAGTCTAAATCTAAGGTGTTTTAGTTCTCTCACCAATGTGCAACAATTTGAGCCTCAACAAATATTTGAAATTGTGCGCTATTTAATGTGATATGTTGCAGGGAGTACAGTTTTTGTACTGACCCACTGATTAAAAAGAAATAATAATAATTCATGTGTTGCGACATTTTCTGAATGATGAATCTTCCTGATAATTCAGGGGTCAGACGTCACACATGCTCTATCACACGAGGGTTAGAAACCTGCTGACCTGGTTTCTCTGACCTAAACTACGAACACTCACATAATTTCATACTGAGAACACACGCAGGCATGTGCACGCACAAAAGTATATGATTATTCCCAGATAAATAAAAGAAACTACTGAAATATATGTTCTGTAATGTACTTTATATTCTTCCGCTGGTCTTGTAGGTCATACATATACTATAAGAGGCTTTATGTGCACACGTGACACAGGGTTAAACAGCTTGTAATTGGTTTACTGTTTCTTGCTTGAATGTTTTGCCCATAGGTGACCTCCAGAGGAGAAAGGGAAGGTATGGTAACAAATACAGAGGAAGTGCATCTATCACTGATAAACACTATAACACTCAGCATATTAAGATTAGTTTAGATTTCTTTTTATATCCTGTATGCTATCAAAACCCCAGTTCATGAATGTCTGTCTGAAAACAGTCTTAAACAGTGTATTTGTATCAGAAGTGTTGCTGCTGCAGAGTTTGGTTGTAGCCAGTTTAATGAATCTTGCGGTTAACAAGCTGAGCCTAGAGTGCTGTATAGTGGAACACACACGCTTCTGACTGAGGATTACTGTGTGTGCATCGAAGCATGGCCGCCTCCCTCACTTTACACCTTGGTGCCACAGACAGACGTCTGGTCAGTTTTGACTCTCCTGTAACAAATAAACATTTAGAGCCAGATGATGTGTACAGCAGCATGTCCTTCTCTGGTTTGGTTATTTTAGCAGGAGTCATGTTTTTATATGTTTGTGATATTCACATCAACTAATATTGAATATAAATATTCCATGTCATTCAGTTTGATCACGTACAGAATTAGGCACCTTACTGATTTGAATTGCTACAGTTATTGTTTTGTGTCTTTGATGCCAAGGGGTCCCCTGACCATTTGGGGCCCCGAGCCTGTGTCTGGTACACCTATCCTGCAAATAAATTCCTGCTATCAGGAGTGTTATCCCAAAAAAACCAATACAAATGAGCTTGCTAAATATCTGCATTTTTGTGGCACAGCTCTGACTTTAAAATACTTTTTCCTTGACTGTTGTTTTTTCCAAATGCAGCT